TAAAAAATTAAAAGCCTTAATTGCTCTTTTTGTTACCCATGTTTCATGATTTTGCAATTTTTGCTATATGACTTTCAAAATTGCATATTTTGCCATTCAACTTTCAATTTTTTGCACATTTTACCACCCAATTAGTTGAATGTTTGTCTAACGTTGTTAGTTAATTGCTGATGTTAGTGTAATATTTTTCAAACAATTAAGGAGGGTTATTGTAGGGGTAGAAAAAATAGGGGGAGTTTGTGTAATTTCACAAAACTTCATGGCGTGTTAGTGTAATTTACCCATTATTGTAATATTATTGATTTTAAGAACTAGAGAACCAGACAAAAAGTTGCATTGGCAATATACCTACAATTATTCTTGATCCAGAAAAGAAGGGATTTTTACAGTTGATAGGGTAGTAAATGAAGATGTTTTTGAAATTATTTTAGCAGCTTTGAACTCAGCATAAGTAGGTTATAAGCTTTATGTGATAATAATTACCATCATTACAATGTACTTGAGTTATAAAGTGTGAAATCATCTGTTATAGCTCATGACATCACCCATCCTAAATTTTCCCTTTCACCCCCATTTGATCTCGCACTTTACATTTCTTGAACTTGAAACATTGACAAACATGCATCTCTTGTCAAATGCTCAGAGATTTGTAATTTTAAAAAAATCTGTATTGCAATTGTTTTTTTCTGTTAGATTTGCTGGCTACTTTTCTTTTTTAGTATGTTATTGTTTGCTATAAGCCATACCCGTAGATTGTGATGCACATTGATTTTGAATCTTCTAAATGTTTCAAAGTAAGGACTGGTGTTTCATTTTCATAACTTCATGCATTTGTAATCTATTTGTAAATGATTAAATGCACTTGTAGACAGAAATTAAAGTGTCTAAGAATCTATTATGATGCACTCAGGCCACAAGTGCTGGATTGAAGGACCAAGAGGCAATTAATTTCTTGGAAAAGAAGATGAAGAATGACCCTTCATTTACTTACGAGGAGACAGTTCAGGTAATTATGTCATGCATTTTTTCTCTCTTCACTCTAGTCTAGTTCCATCTGTCTAGTTTGAGAAATTGACAATCTTGTCTGATAGGCATCCAGTAGTTAAGAAGGTATATGTAAGGTGAGATAATAAGGAGGGATAACTGACTCTAGATGTATTGGAGATACTATAAATAGGTGGCCTCAACAGGTAGTTAGGATGTTAGAAGGTCAGTACAGTCTGTAATGAGGGTTTGGGATGCTCTTGAATATCATCCCGTGTACTAGATTTTTCTTGGATGCCATAGCCTTGTTCTGAATAACATTTTCTTCATTCTTTCTTGTTTCTATATCAGTTGGCCTTTCCTTGTCACTGGCTTTTGTTGGTATGGAAAGTGAAGACTGCCATGTTATCATTGACAACTTGTGTGCCCCCCCTTCTTTTAGGATAAACTAATTTTGTTGATGCTTTCTTTTTTTCTGGCAATTCTTGACAAATATTTACTATGCTATTATATTCTATAATTAATGATCTGCATGAAAGTTATTGGATGGAATAGTGAATGTATGTGGATGCTGAAAAATATGATGTAAATGATCTTGGTTTTGGATTTACTGACTGAGGGATAATGGTTTGTTTCTTCTGTATTTCTGAGTGCTAAAGGAGACAACAAACCTATATCTCTCAGTCGGATAATGTAATAAAAACTAAACTTTTGGATCCTTATTGAAACTGTAACGTATTACATTAGTTATGACATTGACGCATGGTCATTAAGCTTCATGAACATTAGGTATCAGCCTTTGCCTTTGCTTAAACTTAAAAAATGTGTTAAAGAATTTGTTGCCCTTTCTTCTTTCATTCTTATATGTGCTGTCTCAAGCGGTAATTGGTTTTTGTTCACGAGACTTGTATTATGACTAATGACACTAGAAATTGAAAATTATTTTTTCACCAATTTTGTTAACAGTTTTCCATTCATGCTTTTCATGTTCTAATTCTAAGATCTCCCTGTTCCTGTTTTTTATTATATATATTTTTTATCAGACTGCCATTTCTGCTCTGCAATCAGTTCTTCAGGAGGATTTCAAGGCCACTGAGATTGAGGTAGAATTTAATTTTTAAAGCTCAAAGACCTTGTGTGACACCATATTAATGGAAGTTGGTAAAATAATCCTTATTTTATATATAAAAAATTGTTGCAAGATATCATTCTTGTTTAGTTCCTGAATGGACAAAACATTTACTTTAGAAGTAGACTATTACGTTTAGTTGCATGTATCACTGTAAATTTTTGCTAGGGTAGTATGGTAGGGATAGATAATTTTTTTTATTTTTTATTATTTCCATCCAAAAAAATCTTCACTGAATTAGTACAAATGTTTGTTCTTTGCGTTTTCTAGGTTGGAGTGGTGCGGAAGGATAATCCAGAATTCAGAGTTTTATCCACCGAGGAAATTGATGAACATTTGACTGCAATAAGTGAGCGTGACTGAGTTCTTGATAAGGATGTAATTGTTCAAACTTTCTAGTGCTAGATTAAATTATGTACTTTTGTTCTCTGGGATCATTGAATTGATTTCCTTGTGACATTTGAGTAGTGAGTTGCCCAAGAATGATGCTGAAGATGATATTTGCTTTACTATTACAAGTTTACTTGGGAGCACATTTCATGTTCTATCAATTCTCTTGATTTTATTTTTTAAATGGCGTTGATTATAAAATAAAGACGTGTATGATGTATAATAGGGTTAAAATTTGATAGGAATATGATTCCTATGGTCTATATACCATTAAAAAAAAGATTGGCAGACCTTAGGTAGGGATTTGAACTTTGGCGCAGGATGTATATCCTTTTTATTAAATAAATGACTTTTATGATAATTGACTATAAAATTGTCCAAATAAAATTAAGTATGATGAGGATTTAAAATTATACGTAAAGAAACTTCTTTTTCTTCTCTCGGTGAGCTTCATATACAATTAATATGTACGAAACTTAGACGAAGAAAAAAATTAATTTTCTTGTCTAACGATTTTATAATTATTGCACATCTGTTTATGAATTAGTATATGTAGTTCTGTATCAAAAACAACATTAGCATATTTAGTTATTTGACTCGGTCTGTAAAATAAGTTTCGAATTCAAATATTTTTGAAAGAAAAAAAAATGTAATTGGAAAGAGAGATTATATTAAAGATGGTTAATATGTTCTTCAATTGAAATTAGCTAGCGAAAATTTTGCATAAATAAAAAAAACTAGTATAGTTAGTAAAAAAAGTGTTCTCATTTAAAATTTATTGTAATAATTGTAGAGTAAGATTATTAAATAAGATTATCTGAAAAATAAATAACGAGACTTTGAATATTTGGAAAATGCAATGGTCAAAATTTATCACATATTAAAAGGAGATCTTTTCTTTCAAAAAAAAAAATGAGATCTTTTTATTGAAATTAATTTGCACAAGTAATAGTGATTTCTGTCTTTTAATCAAGTTATTTGAGATTATCAATATTATGATTACTTAAAATACTAAAAAAAATTAATTTGTTGATGGATATTTTAAACTTTTAACATAACATGTATTCTAAGAAGAAAAACAATTATTTATGACAGAGATTTTGTTAGTTATTTGCAAAAGCTACTTTTGTATTGTTAAAAAATAAAAGAGAACATTTTTACCTAAAAAAAATGGGTTCCATATTTATTTAATGTTGGTCTTACATTGTAATTTAAGTATACTTTTTTATTAATATTGTCAGTATTAAAATAGACCAATGACAAATATTGTAATAAACAGAGTGGCTTGCTATAATTTTTTTGTCCTGTTAAAATCCTTATACTTTTTTACACTACAATCAAAACAGGGCTAAAAATTATTCTGAATCAATTGAGAGCACTTAATTTAAATAATAATGAAGAAATTTGTATTCAAGATTTTAAAATATTAGTATTTTAACATGTGTGATATTTTTATATAATTATAATTTATAATAAATAAATATTTTGAATATTTAAATTATATTATAATTAAAATCTATAATAAATGCAAGTTTTTAAGTATATAAATTATATTTTAAATTTATAATAAATAATTTGTATTTTAATATAAATTTATTTTATTTATCCATAATTTTAAAAATATTAAAATTCAATATAGTACTAAAAATAAATAAGATTAATCGAAAAAGATGATAAGTTGATAGAAATATATAAAAATATTTTCATTAAAAAATTCAATTAAATATATTATCGTTAAAAACATAATAGTTTCATGAAGTACTAATTCGTTTTGTTTATCAGAATTAACGTCATAAATTTGATGATAAATTCTATTAAAATATGTTTACAAATTTCATATAAGCCTTTTCTGATACTCTTCAAAAGTAATTTTCCTTTATAATAAAAATTATTTTAACTGACATAAGTCACTAATTTATTGGCTAAAAAAGAGAAAAAAAACACATTTCCAACAATCTTGAGGCCAGTCCTATACATATAATATATTATTAATTCCAAAAAAAAATGTTAAATTAGTGTCGTACGAGTAAAGTGTTAAAATAATATGATTAAAATAATAATTAATCAATAAAAATTATATTGTGTAAGTACATATTAGTAACTAATTAAGTTTTTGACTGCGTAACGATGTTGATGAAAAAACAAATGTTAGTGATGCGCATAACTAAACTTTTTTAATTCAAAATATTATTAATATATGTTTAAACGATAGTTATAATAATAATAAATATGTAATTTTTATTAAATATTATATTACTTAAATATTTAAAAATAAGTATATTATTTAAATTTTATTTTATAAAAATAAAATATCAAATTATATTAAATTAAAATAAAATTTTGTATATATAAAAATAAATTTTTTTAATTTAATAGTTAAATTTATAAAATTTATATTTAATATAAAATTATTTAATAATATAATATTTAATAAAAATTATACCGATAGAGCGTTAAAATTAAGTATATAAGTGAACATTGATAACCGCCACAACTCAATTTTCGGGGTTTGGATTTTTTTTTTCATTTCCCGTAGGTTCCGTGTTCCAAACAGTAAGAACTACTCTCTTCTTCTTTGCTCTCTAACAGTGACCCATTCAGTGCAAAATAAATTTTCGTTTCAAAAATAATTATTCTGTTTTATGAATCTTGATTTTTATAATTGATTGTATATTGTTCAGATGAGTTTGAGTATGAGCTTGTGTGGAAGTTATAGTCTTCAGCTTCCATATCGCAGAATTGCAAGCTGCAATCTTCACCGCGATGGTGAGTCTGCTAATTTCTATGCGTCCATTTTTTTAGTAAAAAAAATGCATTTGTGGTTGAGTTGAGAAGGACGAATATAAACAGTGAAGTTCTTTTCAGATTATTTAATGCGGCTGTGTATCACTCAAGACATGAATTCGAACTTGAGATCTAGTTAAGCTGGATTAGCCAAAGTTCATGTTTATCATAAACAATTTTTTTTTTCCTTGAAGAAAGAATTTGCTGATTTTGTTAATGTTAGTGTTGTTTCTTCCTTTTGAAGATGTGTTCGAAAGACCCTACGAATTTCTTTATTATTATTACTATTATTATTATTATTATTATTATTATTATTATTATTATTATTATTATTATTATTATGTTTGTGGTCCTCTAACTTTTGCCAATTTTCATTTTTAGTTCCTAGAATTTTCTTCCTGTTAACATTTTTGGTCTCTAGCATCAAAATTTTTTGTTCATGGAAGAAAATTTTATGGATTAAAACCAAATAAAATTTGTGTTGGGATACAAACAAGTCCAATAAAATAAAAGAAAAAATAATAACTTATAAAGCACACACGTACTCCAATGATTGAGAAACCTTTTAGCCGATGATCAAAAACAAAACCATGATAGCTTAGGCCCAAAGCGGACAATATTTCATCATTGTGAAATTGTGTGTGAAATAACCTTATAAAAATAATTCTTATAAAATATTCCTTCAGAAAAATATCATAAAAAAACTATCAACGGTATCAGAGCCACGTACCCTTTTAGGTGATAACCAAAAAATGTAAAATAACCTTATAAAATATCTTCTCGGACAAATACCATAAAATAACCCCATCAATTTGTTCAGGAATTAAAAGTGAGAATTGACAAAAGTTCATGAACTAAAAACATATTTAATCTTTATTATTATTATGATGATGTTTGGTTTCATTTTTTTTTTTTTTTTTGGTGAAATGAAGATGTGGCATGTAAGTGCACTTTATGTTCTTATAATTGGGATTTGGAGCCATGTAGTTGCCAATTATTTCATTAGATATTGCTACCCTTTGTTTAGTTCAATGTTTATGTCTTTGAAGAAACATGGTATCCTCTTTTTGTTTTTGACTCTTTTTTTTTTTTTTTTTTTTTGTCATAGACAGGCATATTGTTCCTATCAATACGCACCCAAAACCTTCGGAAGCTGAAAATTGTCTTAGGTCAAAATGGAAGATTAATGGCAATAATATTAGGACATGCATTGGAGTCATGACAGGTACTTTCTTTTGAACCCATGGTTATTATGAAATGTAGACTGGATTATATTATTCCTTGCTTCATTTCTTAATTTTGTAACAAGATGACTGTTTATCTGATCAACTTTTTTTTTTCTTCTTTTTTTCATCTCATTTTAGTAGTGCTTCTTCTAATGGGATAGGGAATGCGGTTATTTTGTAAAACAAGCTTAACTTTATGCTGCACAGACATATAGTACATACTTGTTAATTCGATATACTATACATATATACACACATTTTTTTTTCTTTCTTTTGGGAACAGGGAATTTGCTAGAGTCAACTTTTTATGCTGATTATATTTGCAAGCTGCAACTTGGTTTCGGTGAATTATAAATAATTCTCTTTGGGGCTAATTCAAATGTTTAGATATGAAATAAAATGGGGAAGACCTGTCACTGCTTGCTTGAGTTACTGACCAACCGGCATTTTGTCAAATTTCTGATCTTTTTCCATTCTCTAACTCTTTTCTGTACTGTGCTGCTGCTACAATCGGGGTTGGTTGATTGTATTGGTTAATGCTTCTTGTTTCCACTTTTTCAGTGGCACACTTGGTTGCTCCAGTTGCTGCAAAAGCTGTAAGTATGGGTAACTATGTTGGTGATTTGTTTCAACGTATACTTGCATCAATAACTTCTGGAGTAATTAACTCTTTTCAATGTCCCTTTAGATGTAGTTGTTTTTTTTATATTATTTTTAAACAAGGTCACATAATAACCTAATATGTATATTTCTTATTGTATGTAAACTCATTCAATATATAATAGTCTAGTAAACTTTGGTTATTACGACGAGAGAATACAGAAGTGGCTCTTTTTGTTCCTTTTATTTGTGCATTAGATATTGAACTCATGTTGCTAGCTTTTGTGAGCCAATGATAATTAGTAAAGGTTGTTAATGAGGTTGTTCTGTGAATGTCTCTTTGATAGTTGAAATGACACAAATTGTTCCAAATCCTGATAAACACCATGCATCCAAGTCATAGTGGCTGCCTCTTTTATGTCATTCTTTGAGAAACTAGAATTATTTTATTCAGGAAGTGGCTGCTTCTATTTATGCTTTGGCTGATGGAAGCCTCGGTGATTGGTTTGGAGGCTTTGTGTACTCAGCTGGACAGCAGGCCAATGAAGCTGTTCAGGGTCAACTATCGTCTCTCAGTTTCACTAGGTGCATTATAAATTCCTAAACATGCTTTCTTTCTACTTTTTCCCCCCGAAAATTGGAACATATGTTAATAGTTTGTTGTTTGCTGTTTATTTATGTTTTCAGTTTGGCTGTAATTTATGGGGCGGGGCTTGTAACCAGCCTTTCTCCATGTACACTTAGTGTCTTACCGCTGACCCTTGGTTACATTGGTGAGCATGCTTCTTCTGTTTGGCATTTTCAGTATCAGTACCTTTTAGTTGCCTAAATTTGTTGTTTGGAATATTTCAGGGGCATTTGGCTCTGGCAAAAGCAAAACAGAGGTAATAACTAGTTAACTTCGTTATTTTTTTTGACATTATTCTTGTCTCTTTTTACTGCCCTTTTTGAGGATTGAAGTTTTTGGATTACTAATGCTAAATACTAATATAGCAAGGGAGATGTCATTAGGCAATATTGGTGATTTATATCTATGTTTTAATCTTTTAGGTTTCTACTAAGATGCAAAGATCTGAAATGTTGCAGCATTTTACAACCACAGTGCCTTGCACTTTATTAAAGCAGACTTTGTATGTAAAATGCTTGGACATTTGGTCTTTTGAGGCCCTCTATTTTCTATTTAAACTATATATACATTGAACTTAGTTCAGTAAGATGCATATTTGAGGAAGTCACTAAGATCCGTAGCATTGCTTATATGAACTTTTTCAAAAGTGCATCATTTCTCCACTCTCTTATTTCTATAAATTCTGTTTGAGAGACTCTCATACACACTCACACAAAATTCTCACTAATATTGATCTCTTCTTTCTATCAGGTTGTTGGAGATTCCATTGCATTCTCCTTAGGTCTTGCAACCACATTAGCACTGTTGGGTGTAGGAGCTTCATTTGCTGGAAAGGCTTATGGGCAGATTGGCCAAGGATTACCTTTGGCTGCTTCTGGTTTGGCTATAATTATGGGTCTGAACCTACTTGAGGTACTGAAACAGTTTCTCTCCCCCTTCCTTGTGTTTTAAAGGTTACAAACTTTCAAGTTATGAAAATCTGTGCTATTAATTTTCTTTCATTTCACCTGCAACAACACCCATAACTCGCTCTCAGTCAGCAGGGTTATTCACTGTATTTTGGAACTATTTGTGCATAATGTTCTTCACAAAATCTTTAAATCTTGTCAAGAATTACGGTGGATTAAGCCTGTCAAAGCTCAGCCTTGTAATACCTTACTGTTGAGATAGTTTCTGACACTCTTTTAAGTTTTGTGATAAAATTTCATTAATTACCTTCAGCTTTGTGCAGTTGCATGTAGTGTATTCTCATCGGATATAGTTTGATGAGTACTAAGTGTACTATAACGCAAGTTTTTACAAGATAACCCATTATAAAACTTTCCTTGAATAGACATTTTACTATATTTATGTTTGTAATTAACGTTGAGAAAATTTTGCAGATCATTGAATTACAGCTCCCTTCATTCTTTGAAAGTTTTGATCCACGTGCAGCTGCTGCTAATTTCCCATCAAGTAAGTTTATGCTCTTATGCTGACTTTAGTTTTTTCATTAAAAGTTTGAATGTAGAACATTTACTTGAAGGAATTCTACTCTTAGGTGTACAAGCATACCTGGCTGGGCTTACATTTGCATTAGCTGCCTCACCTTGTAGTACACCTGTTCTGGCCACCCTTCTGGGGTATGTTGCTGCATCCAAGGTATTTCCTATTAACAACCAATATGTCTTCATTATTCCTTTCTGGCAACATTTTCATGCAGGGTTGGCAAAAGAACATAGGCAAACTAGTGTCATTTGCTCTCCAGTTTCAGTTAATTAATTCAAAAACTCAGTATTCTAATATGTCAAATTATTTCTGTTTAAAACTTTGAATCTAATATGGGCACATGTTAGGATGAATTTTTTTGTAAACTCTTATAGGATAAGAAAATAAGAATCTAAAATAAACTGAGTTTTTCCCATAAGTTAAAATCATCTCATGTACTTTGAATTTTGTAGAAGTTCTCTCATCTAACTTCTCTAAAAGATGATAAGTGGGTATTAAGTTATGGAAAAAGTTCAATTCATTTTATCTTTTTATTTTTTTTCTCCTATAAGTGTTTATGAAAAAACTTATTCAAACATAGTTTATGAGCCTGCTTGGATAAAAATTTCTAGAAGCACTTCTAGGAGGAAAAAATATATGAAAGAAAAATGAAATAAGTTTTTTTATAAGCTAAAATTAGTCTATGTATAAGCTAAAAAATAAGTTTTTGGAGAAACTAATATGAGAGAGCTAATTTTAGTTTATGGAGAAGCTATTTCATCTTTCCTTTTTTTTCTTTTTCTTTTTTTTTTCTCTTAAAAAGTGCTTCTAGAGAAATCTATCCAAGCTTATGATTGTAAGATTTTTAAATTTTAGGATCTGAGTACCGATGCCCCCATGACAAATTGCTTACTGTTGCTCCAAAGTACAAGGGGTGCTTAATTATTACATGTACATCAATTGCATAATATATTGATCGTCCATTTTCTTCAGTTTGCATATTTAGTCATTCTTATGTTAACGAAGAAAATGATGATTTCTTGACAGGATCCATTGATTGGAGGCAGCTTACTTTTGACTTACACAACTGGCTATGTTTCCCCCTTACTCTTGGCTGCTTCTTTCGCTGGAGCATTACAGGTCAGTACAAGATTTTTTTGGTTCTATAGAATAACTTGAAAGATCTTCTAAAACGATGTCTCATGGGAAACAATATTTCTGATTCAAATTTCTATTGACAGAGTTTGCTTTCATTTCGCAAGTTCTCAGCATGGATCAATCCTATAAGGTAACTTTTGAACTTTTAATAAGCGATTAAGCACATAAACGGTACACACTGGTGTTCCCCTACACAATTAGTGCTCTTGTTATTTTCTACTTTCTAGAGACTAGAGTATCCATTTCCTTGTTGAATTTCATACTTCCCATAATTCTTATGCATGTTACAATTTTCTTGTCTCACAGCGGAGCAATGCTGTTAGGTGGTGGTGTATATACTTTCTTAGATAGGTTGTTCCCAGTCACAATGGTGATGTAGAAAATCTCTTGGCTCTTAACACGCCGTGATCATTTACTTAAACAGTTCCATGTATATATGTCATACAAGTATTCAATTGAAATAGAAATTAAAATGACTATTGCATACCACAGCCCAATTCTTCCTCCAAATCCATAATATATTTCTTGGTCTAACTTTCTTCCGAGACTAATTTGGCGTGCAAAATCTTATATTAGGTAGGAAACTTTGTGCATTGGTCCATTTATTAACTTAACCGTGCAAGATTTTGATAATGATCATCACAATGACCAAAGCATGCTTTTCTTTGAGGGATCGGAATCCCAGTTTTTTTGGTTTCAATCTTGCACTTGGTCAATCTCTTTAAACATAAGCTGTGGTGGCACGTTCATTATGATTAATTAGTACGAAAGATTTAGAAGGAATGTCACATGCAGTTTAAGCTGGAAATTGTAGATCCACTCAGTTGATATGTTATAGTAAAATAATTATAATATAAAATAAAATGGATAATGTATGTGTATGTACTAATGGTAAAGAGTTTTTTACATTTTCATTTAGGATATGTTTGAGTAAATTTCTCCAAAAACACTTCTAAGAGATCAAAATAATAGAAAAAATGAAATAATTCTTTTTCTAAGTTAAAATTAGCTTTTACATAAGTCATTTTGTCTCTTCTATTAACTTCTCCAAAATGTTGTTTTTAACTCATAAATAAGTTAATTTTAGTTTATTGAGAAATTTATTTTGATTTTTTTATTTTTCTTTTCTAGAAGTACTTTTGGTGAAATTTATCTAAATAAATCCTTAATCAGAAATTGCCACATATTTAATAAATAAAAAATTGTCATATATGACAAGTTTACGGTGTAACAACATATATTTATAATTATTTTATAATGTTAAAAAAATATTAACCGTGCATAAAAATTAAATTATGATATAATTGCATGTTGATGAGTGAAACTTAATTGATAAGAGAAATGTTAATATATCCATCATGGGATTTGTAATGAGAATTGAGAGTTGTTATATTTCAACATAAAAATATTTCTCATACTTCCATTGTATTTGTATCGTCCATTAAAGTCCACATATGTAAAAATATTTAATGGTAACAATAACGTTCAAGCTTAAAACTTCATTCAAACTCTTCTCTCCGTCCACCACTAGGTCACCCTAGTGGGTTGTGTGCAAGATGCGAACACATTAAAGTTATCTTAGCCTTGCTGTTCTTTTATTTTTCAAATAATGTTTTGAATAATTTATCAATTGCGCAACTTAAATATTTGAATAAAATGAAACATAATACTCACCCAGGTAACTATGGCGTATTAAGTTTTGAACATAATTGTAAAGGGTGGTGAAATGAAAGATTGAACACTTGCATTACATAAGATATAGAATAGAAAAAAAAAACAAAAGGAGTAAATGATTAATATCATTGGATTTTATTGTGAACACACCTATAGATACATACAAATGAAGAAATCACACGAACACAAGAAAACTGAACTAGCTCAGTAGCTCTAGAAATGGTTTACAACCCAAGGACACGGGTCGAGGGAAATAGAAAAAGAAAGGCACTTCTGTAATTTAACTAATCTCCTATGGTATATGACATAGCCGGGAATTTTAAGCAAGCAAGGTTCAATCAGTGTTTTGCAAACATTCCTTGCGTTAAGGAGGAAAAATCATAATCATTCCCTGTCTTTGAAGTGGTCGATGATACCGGAGACGCTGACTGAGGTTTGCTCGCTCCCGATGTTGTTGTACCATTAACTGGAGCTACTTGCCCCATACCATAGAAACTGCAACAAAAGGCAACATAGTTTAACTAGAAAAGAGATACATAAAAAAAAATAGAAAAAAATCAAGATGGATATTTGTTTCCTATGATGACTTCAATGAATGAACAGAAGCAATGTATAGTATAGACCCTGAACAAATAATGAGCAGCCTGGACGGACTTAAATGAATGAGATTTGATGCAAGGATTAAAAGCATGTCTGAAACATAATCTTTAGCTAGTAAAGCCATCATAATATTGGTAAATTTGTAAAAATGTTTGAAACAAAAGAATGCTTCATTCCCATGCGTTCAGGCAGAGATAATTGGCCTCAAATTTGAGGTGGTATATGGGCCAGCAAAGGCAGCAAAACCTATGAAAATGATTCCAATGCTAATGGCACTAGCCCTTGACTATGAAAGGAATTTTTTTATGAAGAGAAGTCAACTTTCATAACACAATGTGAATAGAGCCTCCAAAATAGCCTTTTGGCAGCACAACCTACACTCTACAGAAGCCATTAATTTTGATTTAGGTTACCATGTATCCTGATTGACACCAATATCAACCAACGATAATTCAGAATCTTACCCAAACTGAAAGTAAATAAGCTTTCAATAAACAAACCAGTGGCATACCTCGACTGTGGATGGTGAACTGAACTCCCTGCTGAATGTGCTGCAGCCATGTTCATTGTCTAATCCAGAAGGAAGAAGAGGAATAAATTGCTGAACAGATAAGTACAAATCATTAATCAATTAATGCTTCCACGAATTATTTACCTGCATGAGTTTCTGAAACTCTTCCTGACCGCCCATGGGCATCGCACCTGGGATTGAGTAGCCAGCAGCTGGCCAACTTTGGACGGGAATATTGGACCCAGGTTGTTGTATGCTGGCCGGGTACTTGTTATCCCCACCAGCAGATTTAGCAGCAGCAGCCATAAAAAGAGACTGTTGTTTCTGTAAGCTGGCCATTAAATTGGGATCCCCACCAGCAGATTTAGCAGCAGCAGCCATAAAAAGAGACTGTTGTTTCTGTAAGCTGGCCATTAAATTGGGATCCGCAGCAGCAGCCATTAGAAGAGACTGATGTTGCTGTAAGCTGGGCAGGTACTTGGAATCCCCACCAGCAGATTTAGCAGCAGCAGCAGCCATTAGAAGAGACTGTTGCTGTGCCAGCATGGCCAGCTGCTGTTGTTGCATAGAAAATGGAGATATTGTATCCTTCTGCAGATATCCAATTAACTTGGTCAGGTTAAATCTTATTCACACCAAAACAAAACATCCCATCTAAGGATAGCGATCAACTTGTTATGATGTCTTTTGGATAGTAACTCACATTGAGCAACAAGGGATGCTCAAATAACAAGAATGTGTATATTGAAGCGCAGGCATGTACCTTCTCAAAGAGGCTCATGATATCATTTTTTACATCTTTTTGTGGTTTTTCTGGAGTTAAACTTGGTGTAACTGAAGGTGAATCTTTAAATAAATCCTCAATTCCAGTAGTGGACTGGGGTGCACTTTCAACTGATTTCGGGACATCAGTTTTCTCAGCTGTCGAAGCCTCTGCAGCAGCTGAAACAATTATAGCAACAAAATTAGAAACTAAAACAAACATCATAATCAAGAAGATTCGTCAAAGCTCCAAAAACAATGCCTGGAAACACTTTCTTAGTGCTTCCATGGTGTATTTTTTTCTATAAAAAGAAAAAAGAAAACCTAAAACATACACTGAAAACCTGCCCAGTTATCATCAGCAGTAGCATCCGCTGCCTCTGAGCCCTTTTCATTTGGACCATCCATAGACAACATGTCAAAAAGATCTGTGGCGAAGTCAACTTTTGGAGGGGAATTTTGTGTTATGTCAGTAGTCTGTTTTGAAGTGTCATCTTGTGGTGATGGTGCCACATGTTCCACTTTCTGAATATGTTGAGGTTTAACCACAGGAATTACCTGTTCAGAAACATTATTTTCATGTCTAAATTCAACTTTAAAGAGCAAGGGAAAATGTATAATTTGAAAAGGTTAAATTGTTAATTGCTTATAGTGTCATAGTTTATCATGCAAGTTATTGAAATTTGAAAATGTATAATGAGTAATACTATTTTATATAAAAGTAGTCAAAATATATCTCTCACTAATAATATTTTCCAAACATCCATCACTATCAAATATCAATATTTATTTCAATCATAAAATTTCCCTAGAAGGAGCATAATAGTTTTATTATTTCATAACTTGGAGGCAAAAATGAGTTGACTTTATCTTCTCAAATAAAAAATATATAAGGGACATGAGGAAAGAAATACAGTCTGTAGAACAAGCTCAATTGCATGGCTTTCCTAGTAAATTAGTTGATTTCTTTTTTCTCAATCTTCCAGAATTACCCCTTATCTTTCACCACTAAATCTGTAGCTTTTCTGCTGGCGTGACGACACCAATGCCGACACTTATGATGATTGATGGCGATACTCAACCATAGCCATCCACCCTTCAAAACATTCTACCACCACCACAAATTAGAAAGAAAACTAAACAATGACCACACCACAGCAGCACCTCGATGTACATAACCAGCTTTTCCTCTTCCTCCTTTAAAGCTCTTATCGATGAGCAGGTGATCCCCCTCCACAACGTCCATTTCAACCACACCCAACCCCTCTTACTCTCTGGATCTACATCTATTTCCTCACTCACTATGTGGTTCACTCACTCACTCACTTCACTGCCAACATCTTGTCATCTCCACCAAGTGCCATTATTGTTGGAATTAATATCTATGTGGAAGAGAGAGGGAGTGAGCAAGATTGGGAGAAGAGTGGCAAAAAGTAAGGTTGGGGGAAGAAGGTATGGGAGAAGATGATTTCATGGGAGAAGAGAGAGAAACGATGGGGTGGAGGAGGAGGCAGGGCATAATTAAAGAAAAATAGAAAAACAGAAAAATCTCAGTCATAGATTAATTAAGAATATAACAGTTCAAAAGCTCTTAATCCACAGGGAGAGATATCTTGTAGGTTGTAGCGTCCCAGCGTAGCCTCCACCCAAAAACTAAACACAGTAATCCTTTTAGGTTTCTATTTTTTTATCTGATTGTTTTGAAAACTAGTTATCCATAATCAGATTTTAGAGTAGAAAATTGAGAACACATTTTAGTTTTTGTTTTCCATATCATGGATTCTTCACTCTCATTTCAACCCACTAGTAGCCTCACTTCCATTGCCACCACAACACTTGAAAACTTGATTATCATTAAGAAGAGCGTGTTTCAATTTTGGTGATTATGGCCACAATTTTGAAAAATGCCATGATAGCTGCTTTTATTCATTTTTGTATCAATCACTGTACTGTTATCTAACCACGAATCCTATTATTGTTCTTTCAGTAGAGTTTTATATCCATGACTGGGCATTCAAGAAGACAAAGCACCTGTTGGGGCCTTTTTGTTCCGCAAAATAAGAGGGCGTATTCCTAAATTTAAGTTGAGAGTTTTATTTATTATAGCTCTCCAACGTTGATTGGTTTCGGGGGTGGGGGGGGGGGGGCACCCCATAATTTTCCCTT